GCAGGAAAAGGACATTGGCAGGGTGGGCAAGGTTGTCCTTACTTTTGCAGATAGGGATCTTGTTACTCCAGGTCCCGTCCTTTAGACATTCAATCTGGAAGGAGTCGCTTTCCAGGTTATCCTGTGCAGAAGATGCCAGCAAAAACCACAATCAGTGTACAAGGCAAGGAAAGTCCTCCCTCCATAAAAAGTCAATTTCTTCATGATTTAGTCAAGATATATCCAGACCCCCTGGAAGAGGACTTTTCTAACTAAAAACTGAGATAAAAATCATAACAAAAACTTTAATTTTATTGTTGCCGGCAACTCAGTGGCATGCTGAAAGCAAAAGAACTGGAGAAATTTATTCCTGTTCTAGGTGCTGGGATGGGTAAGGAGGCAGCTCTCCGTGAAGGATGAGGCTGGGAGGAGATCAGAGAAATACCCAGCTCCATGTCGGAAGTCAAAGCGGGCTGCTGGTTTGGAGGGAAGACAGCCACCCCGTGAGTCACCCAGTTCTCAGCTGTTTCCTGGAGAGGGCCTGCCAAAATCCCGGTCCCCTTGACTTGCTGAAGCTGTCCCAAAGTCCCAGAGGACCTCCTGGACTGTGGAGGCTGGCCATTGTGGGGCTGCCCAGGAAGCTGAGCCAGCGCCCGCCGAGGTGGGAAGCAGGCAGAGCCCTGGCAGCTCCCCCGGGGCTTTTGCTGACTTTTTCTCTGGCAGAAGTGCCAAGCCTGGCATCCTGTGAGCTGGCCGGCTCCGGAGGGATGCTGAGAGGGTGGCTTGGGAAAGTGACATCTCCTCTCTTCCTCTGTGTCTTTGGAAAGGAAATTTGGTGGCTCTCAGAGGGGGCTTTTTCCTTGCCCCTGGGAAGGGGGGGAGGATCGTGTGTGGGTTGTGTTCGTTGTCCAAGAAATGCAATGGCTTTGGGAGGAAGGATCCCCCCTTTCCTACCCAGATGCCCAGCTCCACACAGTCACCCCATACCTTCAGTACTTTGTATCCAGTGTTGCAGCTGATGACAACTTGGTCTTTGAAAGTGTACTTGGCTTGGGAAGGCTCAATTTTCCCATTGATTGGTGGTTGCACCAGTGGGCATGGATTTCCTTTGAATAAACAGCAAATGAAGAAAAACAAAATTCAGCTGAATTAATGGAGGAAATGGAGAGTCCCAGCTCTGCTACCCAGCTCCTGTAGCAGGGTCTGAGCATCCCTGCCCTGCTCTTGCTATTAACCTACACTAACATGGCTCAGCCAGGCTCTTCTAGGAGTGAAGAATCCAGGTCTTTCTCCCAGTCCTGGGCTTTTCCTGGCTTTGGGCATTACAAGGATGGGAGCTAATAACAGTAGCTTTTGCAATTATCCTGCCCCAAACTGCACTGCTTTGCAACGTGGTCTTGTTTTAGGGCCCATCTGGCATAGGTAAAAAAAGCACCCTTTGATGGAAGGGCTCCATGTTATTTTATTCCTCTCTTGTGATTTCTGGGACAGACACTTTCTGGAGGAGGGATCATGGACCACCAAACTCATGGTCTCCACCTGCAGGGTTTATAAAGCCCTTCCCATTGCCCAAGCCCAGCAAATAGAGGAAAGCAGCAGGAGTTACCAATTGCTGTGTACGACAGCTTCCAGCCCCTGTTCTCTCCTGAGTTGTCACTATGGAAGAGGATCTGCACGCTGTTGGTCTGGGTTTCAATGCGTCCCGGGGACTTCTCTCCACAGAAGGGGCCAAACTCCCTATGGCCAGCTTTGATCTGCCAAGGGAAAGAAGAGCAGGTGGCTTGAGGGGGATCCTTGATCCCTGAGGATTGCTTCACCCTGCAGCTGATGGATGGGGCTGCAGTGGGGTCAGTGGGTTAAGAACCATGTGTTGGGGGGGATGTGAACCGAAAGAGGGTCACCATTGGCTGAGAAGGTGAAAATTAGATGTGGTAAGAGACGTGGGTTCAATTGAGCACAGGGATCCTGCTGGCTTCACCACCCCCATTTAGACTGGGACCATTTTGGTCCCATCACCAGGGCACTGGGGAAACAACAGGAGAGCGGGACAGGAGAAGTGTGCAGAGCCCAGCTCACCTTGATGTAGTCATAAGGACAGGTCACCTCGGGGTGGTCCTCCACGTCGAAGCTGTCCTCAAAGCTCAGTGTGATGAAGAAGCCCTCCTCCAGTTCGATGCGGTACAGGCAATCCGAGCTCTTGGGATAAGGGCTGGGGAAGTCGGCGCTGGCCACCACCCCGCTCCTCTGGGTGTAGAGGTTGTCGCTGCACTCCACTGAAACACAGCCATGGCTCTCTCAGGGCCCTGCAGCCACATCCCAGCCCTGACCACACTCAGGAGCCCCTGAATATGGATCCATACAAGGACACCCTCACATAGTCAACCTCCAAAAATGCCTATGGCGTAGAGGGTCCTGGGCTGAAAGCTAATCCCAGCTAATCTACATGATGCAGGCTACATGAGCAGAGACTAAACCCTTTGATTTCTCTGACTTGAAGAGGTCTGTAGGGCTTAACTGAGGAGCATAGCCCATGGGAGAAAACACATCTTCTTCCCACACAAGAGGACTGTGGGCCTTGGGCACTCTCCAGTCTCAGGCTATTGGTTTGTAGGGCAAGAGGCACCTCGTCCCTCCTGGCAGCAAGACAGGGCAGTTTTGCCTGTGCTTGGTAGGTCTGTTGCCTGCTCAGGGACCCCTCTGTGTGACCATCCCCACATCCGAGCCGTGCCTTGGTGGTACCTTTGCAGGTCCTGTTGTCGGAGTGGAGGATGTAGCCAAACCTGCAGGAGCAGTAGTACCCGCCGATGTAGTTGTGGCAGTAGTGGTCACATGCCAGCTCCTCGTCGCTTTTCTCCAGGCACTCATCCACATCTGGGATGGAGATAACAAGGAAGGGAGGTCACCCTGCAGTGCCCCACACATCACTCCTTGTGGAGACATTTGCTACGACACTGAGAAATTAGTTGTCCCACATGCTGGGTCACATGAGCACCCAGTGGGTCCTATATTGCCCGAGGGCTGCACACAAGGATTTCTCTTGCTAAGGTCCCCAAAGCTGGCCTGGGATGTGATCCTAGCAAAATTGTTACGCCACTCTAGCAAGCTGGTCCTGCAGGCTTAACCACTGCTTACCCACGGCGGTGTAATGGGCGTCGAAACCAGTGAAGCGTTCCTCGTTGGAGAAGTCAGACCTGAACGTAAGCCCCATGTAGGGCCCCGGGGACAGGATTACTTGCTGGCCGGGAGCCTGCTCTGTGTCTGTCGTCTCCCTGCCGCAAAAGGTTGCCAGCTCCTGGTCCTCAGCTTCAATCTGTTAGCAGAAAGAACAGGTGAGCCCTTGGCTGGGTTTGGGGCTTGCCCCCTGGGCTCTGCTGAGCACTTGGAGTTTGACATGTCCCCAGTGCTCCCCAGTGCTGGTCACCTCTGAATTTTCTCTCCATGGGGCTGTGGGTGTCTGTGAGCCTGGAGACCCCGTGGTGCTTTCCTGAGGGACATCAGGCTGGGCTTGGAGTCATGCTCTACACCTGAGAGCTCAGGTCTCTGCCTGCGCTTGCCCAGCCTGTCCCCAGCCAGGGCTCAGCTGGGGCAGGCAGGGAAAGTGTCTGGCAGCCTTTGATGGCCACAGCCTAAGGATGCAGCTCTGCACCCCTGGGTGCCCCGTCCTGCTCAGCCCTGTGC